TCCATTCGAACGGATTGGCCTTTTTCATTATTTGGAAAAATGGAATGGCACGATCGGCCAGTTTAGCCATAAATCGGCTCAAAGCCGCTAACCTTCCGGTCAACTTCTGAACTTCTTTCAAGTTCCGCGGTGCCTCCATGTCCATGATTGCCTTTACTTTCTCAGGATTAGGCTCAATCCCCCGCTCGCTCATCATATAACCCAAAAATTTGCCCCCCTTGACTGCGAAGGCGCACTTTTTTGGATTCAGTCTCATGTTGGCCTTCTGCATGATCCCGAAGACCCTTTCCATATCCCGGACATGATCCTCCTTCTTCCTGCTCTTGATTAGGATGTCATCTACATATGCCTCCATGGTTACCCCCAGTACCTCTTTGAAGAGTATGTCGATCATTCTTTGAAAAGTGGCCATGGCATTCTTCAACCCGAACGGCATGACGATATAGCAGAACACGCCGTCCGAGGTGACGAACGCAGTTTTCTCTGCATCATCTGGGTGCATGAAGACTTGGTGATAACCCCGGAAGGCATCCATAAAGCTCAGCAGTTCACATCCTGCTGTTTCGTCCACCAGCAGGTCTATTCGTGGGACAGGATAGGGGTCCATGGGGCAGGCTTTGTTCAGATCGGAGTGGTCCACACACATTCTCCAAGTAGATCCTTTTGGAGCAAGGACCACATTAGCCAACCATTCGACATGGATGACTGGCCTAATGTGCCTGATCCTCAGTAAGGTGGTTACCTCCTGCTTTGTGAATTCCCGCCGTTCGGCCGCCTGATATCTTTTCTTTTGTTGGACCAGCCTGGCATCAGGCCGAACGGCTAACTTGTGGCAGATGAGGGCCGGATCAATTCCCGGCATGTCTTCGGGTCCTCGGGCAAATAGAACCTGGAATCTCTTCAGGACAGCGATCACCCCCTCCCTGATTTCCCTTTAAGGTCAACCCCGATCGCAATCTTACGATCAGGAGGGGAATCAAGCTCGATGTATTCTAGGAGGGTGGCTGGCTCGGGGCGTCCCTCGAGCTCCGTACGCCGGGTCTGCACCTCAATGCTGTTTACCCGCTGTCCCCGGGTGGTCATTTGCTTCAAAGCCTCTCGGTAGCACATTCGGGCTATGGCAGGATCTGTTCGGGCCACTCCTACACCTGTGTCAGTTGGGAATTTGATGCATGAGTGTCGAACAGAGGCAATTGCCTCCAAATCTTCTAGCCCCGGATGGCCCAATATGGCGTTGTGGGCACATGCAATATCCACCACGACAAACGTCATCCGGACTGCCGCTCGGTGAATTTCATCACCAATCTCCACCTGAAGCTGGATGGTGCCCTCAGCCTCTATTACATTGCCGGTGAAGCTAGCCAGTGGTGTCTTCAGCTTGGTCAGCTGGTCCTTCTTCAGCTTCATCTTCTCCAACGTGCGTAAATACAGCACGTTCACACTACTCCCCGTGTCCACCAGAACTCGGTGGATCAAGGCGTTGTCTATACACATACTCACCACTAGCTCGTCCCTGTGCGGACTTGGTGAGTTGGGTAGATCAGCCACCCCGAACGTAATTGGCTCCAAGCGGCCCTTCTTTGTGGGAGGTGCAGCTATAGTGGCGACATAGAGGCTGCGCTCAAATTTCTTACGTTCGGCGGCTGTGTCCCCGGTCTCTCCTCCACCAAAGATGACTTTTACCTCCATCCTTGGCTTTCTCCCCGGGTTTCCGGACCCCTCAGCCTCCTCCGTGGGGGGGAGGTATGCATCATTACTTGGCTCTGCATCCCGCTGGGCGTCCTGCTTCCAGCTATTGGACCGGGGAGGGCGTTTGTTGGGGGGAGGGTTGTTCGGGCTGGTGCTGACATACTTTCTCAGGTAGCCTTTCTGGATGAGGTCCTCAATTGCCATATGTAGGGCGTGGCAATCCTTCGTGAGGTGCCCATTCCGCTGGTGGTATCTGCAGTAGGAGCTTGGGGTAGGTCCCATTACGGGCCTTGTGTCAGTAGGGGGAGGAATGGCGTTGTGTTCCAAATGGAAAACACCAGCTATAGACATGACCAGGGGGGTGAAGCGCGTAGTCCTTCGATGAGGTGCTGCACCCGCTGGTGTGGGTCCCAGACGTTCTGCCAGTCTTGAAGTGGGAGGTTGCGGGGCCGTTCGGTCCCTTATCCTGATCTCTTCTTCCAGGGCCGCATAGTTCCTGGCCCTTTCCAGGATGTCTGGGTAGCTGGTCCCCGGATTTCTCTTCAGCTCCCTGTATAAATCTCCCGTCTGAAGGGCATCGGTGAAAAGAAGGATGGCAGTCTCATCTGTCATGCCGGTCACCTTCAGGGTTTCGGTCCTCCACCTGGTGAGGAATCCGGAGATTGATTCTTTAGGCCCTTGCCTCACACTGGTTAGATACCCGAAATGTAATTTCGGGGTTGTGCTGGAGGCGAACTGAGCTAAGAATAAGGTGGATAGCTCCGCAAAGCTCCCGATCGACCCGGGTTGTAATGTTCCGAACCATTCCTGGGCTGGTCCCCGAAGGGTACTGAAGAACAGCCTGCATATTGCCGCGTCGGTGGCCCCCAATAGCATGAGGCCACCCTGGTAACTCCTCAGGTGTACGTGGGGATCTCCCACCCCATCGTATGCTAAGCCGGTCGAGGGACGGCAGTCCTTCAGGATTTCGGCGTTCATGATTTCCCTAGTAAAGGGAGAGGTGATCCCAACCCGTGCTGGCGGGGTTTGTTGGGGCGTCCGATTGACCTGCTCTCTGAGCTCAGTCATCTGTCTTCTCATTTCGGCCATTTCGTCGTCGTGGGCCGTTCGGGGAGTGTGTGGTATCCTAGCTTCCACATATTCCGGTATTCTGTTTTGGGGAGGGGCAGCTGTGTTAGCCCTCCTCCGGATGAAGCGTTCCCCATCCCTCTGGATATACTGGAAGTGTTGTCCAACGGGATCTACCATGGGGGTAGGTTCCCTATATCCGTTTCGAGGGGCGGACGGGGTTCGACTGGTTGGTGCTCCACGTCTGGGGGTATGGGCCCTCCAGTGGTTCCTGCGGTGTTCCTCGGAATGAACTGAGGCCATCGTGGTCTCAATGTCCTCCTCTTCGTCGAAAGATGGCATGGGACGCAACGGGGATGGTGGCTCATGAGTTTCATCGGCGTAGCCCTGTTCCTGTTCGTCCGCCATGCGTTGCATGGCCTCCGCCATCTCCCTCATCAACTGAGGGTTCATCCTTACATCCCGGGGGATGATTTGCTCGAACTCCCGGGTGGCACTGCCACTGGCGTGTCCTTGCCTGGACCACCCCTCAGAGGATCTATTGCCTCCTCGGCCTCTGGATGTAGAGCTCGGTGTCGCGGTAGTAAGTCTAGCCATTTTTCAAGAAAAAATGGTGCTTAGATCTCGGCTTTGTCTGGACTTTTAGTGTGGTTTCCCACAGACGGCGCCAATGTTGAGGTTTATTCCCGAAGATCCGAAAGCCCAACACAAGCCTTGGATATTGTAGGGATATTGGGTAGGGTTGAAAATGTGTATAAAATATAAAATAGTGAAATAATATCCAACTCAAGAACTTACTTATATTCTGTAATTAAGCAATTACACTGAAACTACCCGAACGGTAGATGAATATGAGATTACAAGGATGGGAGATGTAAATCTATTGCTAAGCTCTGAGTATTAAAATGCTAACCCCTTATGATGATCTAAACATGGGTATTTATACTAAAATAGGGATGGGCAAGGTGGCCACGTGGCCGAATCTGGTAGGCTGTCACCTCTGCCATGTAAGCACTCATGCCCCCACTTGCAGCCGCCATGATCCAGCATTAAATGCGGCCTCCACTTGCTGATTGCCTGTTCGGGCACGGTGTTCGGTGTATGGATCTCAGCCATAGGTGATCTAGTTAATGGGAGTATCCCGAACGCCGATCGATATCTGGCCTTGATACTTTGGCATAATTGTTTCCCGGAATGTTCCAAGTATAAGTTTTATCCCGAATGCCGTTCGGGAGTAGGGATGGACCCGGGCCGGGCCGGTTCCGGTTCCGGGCCGGGCCCGGGCGGGCTTTTTTTCGGGTTACATGGGCCCGGAACCGGCCCGGGTTGATACCGGGTCCGGGCCTAACCGGGCCGGGCCGGGCCGGGCCCGGTTCAATGTTTTTTTTTTTTTTTTTTTTTTGACTTTCTTGTTATCTCCCTACCCCCCCCCCCCCTCACCCCCACGCCCCAAACCTCCCTAAAACACCCAGCCCTACCCTAGGAAAAGAAAAAAAATTGAAAAAACCAAAAAAAAAAAAAAAAAAAATGAACCGGGCCCGGCCCGAACCGCCCGGGCCGGTTCAACAAAAACAGGGCCCGGAACCGGCCCGCCCGACCCGCCAAAACGGGCTAAAAGCCCGGAACCGGCCAACCGGGCCCGGTCCGGTTCGGGCCCGCACAGTAGCGGGCCGGTCCGGTTCCGGGCCGGTTCGGCCCGGCCCAGTCCATCCCTATTCGGGAGTTGTTTGGGCTTGCTGCTTCTTCCCGGATTTGGGCCTAGGGATATTGGGCCTGGACCCAATATCCCAACAGTAGTGTTTTTCATTTTAAGTCATAATTAATTGGCGTGCTGCCGGGGCATTGCCCCGGGCTCTGCACTAGTGCTGCAAATGCTTCATAGTGACCCACCCTTATACTCACATTCTCTCAAAAGCTTTTTTTGTTTGTGAATTCCGTTCACATACAAAAAATGTCTTATTTTGTATGTGAACAGAACTCACACAAAAAAATCTTTCACAAACATAATAATAGATATAAAAGTGAGTATAATGGGTACACACATCTTTTTTTTTTGTTTATAATGCGGTATTAAAACCAAAATCCGGAACTCTTAAATAACCTATTCACGGTACTCGTTCCGACTCAGGAGTCAGGACCAATTTGGCTGGTCCCGTTTAACGAATCAGGATTAATCAAAACCGGATCAAAAAATTAGTACCATGATAATAAATTAGTACGGAAGTTAAATGTTAATAAAGAGATATACACTAAATAAAATAATAATTACAATATTCAACTCTCAACTGAGATCACCAGATTATACATTCCTACCACAGATTAATATTTATATGCTATTTCCAGTGTACCTACTGCAGTGCGAATTCATCCAAGTTACTCCCAGATTCTAAAAGTCAACCCTTTGGATATATTTATATATCATACACAAGACATGAATAGAACTATAATCTAGAGGCTGGATAAGTTCTGTTATACTACATATATAATTACAGATAGATTGTCCTCCCAACAAGGGATGCATGTATCTGACTGGCAACCTAAAGGAAGTAGGACAGTTGCTGCTTCTTTCGGGAGCCGCCTTCGCCATATAAGTCATTCCATTGCTGAAGCTCACCCATTATGGATCCTTCAGCAGCAAAACTAGCCGCAACCTGAAGTGAAATAAAAACACTCCCAATATGTTCATAACCGGCTCGTCTATGTTCTATTTGAGAGAACAGACAAAAAATTATGTTACCTGATTCTTTGCTTGCTTCATATCTTCCATGTTTAGAGGTCTCAGAGTGATAACTCTCTCAGCTGTGGGTTCCTTCTTATCTGAAGTAGCAGCTTCTGAGCTCTGCCCTTCTTCACCTTTGCGCCTCTTTTCCTATGAACAGAATAGTTTATGAAATGAAAGTGTTGACAGCAAAAGAGCCGAAGAATGCAGATAGAAATAATGACTGATACAACAATATGCAAGCCTTGGTCCCAAAAGAGTTTGGAGTGGGTTAACATGAATCAGCATATCAAATTGGAGCAAATAATGACATAGAAATTGACGTAGAAATAATGACAAATACATTATTAAAATAAAAATGGGCAAAAATGTGACACTTAAAGTCATATTTTTGTCCATGAGTTTTGACTGAGTATTGTTAGGAAAGTAATCTACCATGTTTTTCTGAATCTCCTGTTGTATTAGCTCTCTCACAGGACGATAAGCTGCTGTTGTGCACAAGTTCTGTTTTCAATGGCCAAGACTATTAGTTGTTACAGATTAAAGATTATCTGCCAATTTCAATATTTTGCCAATTAAGAACAGACCTTAAGATCACTTCCACTATATCCATCAGTCATCGCAGCAAGCTCCATAAAATCAAGGTTTTCTACATTTTCCTTCGCTAGAAGAGTTCTCAAAATCTTTTCTCTGCTCTCTGCTGACGGCAACCCAACCATAATTCTGTTCACAATAAAAAATAGAGGTCATGTTCTCATATTCGCATAGCATCACAGCACCATGTCAAGACCAACAAAGGCTAAAATACCCAACTTTTCCCTATTTAGTGCCTGTTTTGTAATTCAGTTTCAGTACAAAACACCGACTTAATTAATTATGTAGGTCAAACGGATCAGTAAAAAAGTTCAGTTGCTATTTTTTGCCCTAAAATGACTGAAAGGAAAGATACAAATTTTGAATACATTTTAGACAACTCAGCGAAAAAAGCACCCATAATTTCACCAAATTTGGCAACTTCAACAATTCCGGACAGATTTACACTTAGAAGATGAGCTCTCATTATTCTTTCCTAAGAGAAAACACAATGATCTCATTTAAGCGAATGAAGCAATGTGAATATACCTTCGCTCAAATCGCCTGATAATTGCTTCATCTAGGTCAAACGGCCTATTAGTTGCTGCTAGAACCAGAATTCGCTCACCAGATTTCGTCAACAATCCATCCCAATGTGTCATGAACTCGTTCTTGATTTTCCGCATGGCTTCGTGTTCTCCAGCCCTTGTTCGTTGCCCAAGCATGCTATCAACTTCATCCACAAAAATGATAGTAGGAGACACCTTAGCAGCAAGTGTGAATAAAGCTCTAACATTCTTTTCATCTTCACCGAACCACTTAGAAGTAATTGTTGACATCGAGACATTTATGAAGCTTGCTCCGGCTTCATTTGCAATTGCCTTGGCCATCATAGTTTTCCCGGTACCAGGAGGACCAAAGAGCAATATGCCTCTGCAAGGCTTAAGAAGACCACCATTAAAGAGGTCAGGTCTTCGAAGCGGAAGCATTACCAGCTCTTGAAGAGATTCCTTAATCTCATCAAGGGAGCCAACATCTTCAAATGTCACTCCAATCTCATGCGCAGGGATGACTTCTGGTCTTATGCGTTTCTCAAACTCATTGTCTGGAGGAACTTCCTGTAGTCAGACATGTTAACGGCCGATGGAAAAATTAAGAGCCTGTTTTCAGTAAACTACAAAAAAAATCAACAAATATTGGCCGGTGCAAGTTTGGTCACATTTAGTAGCATTCATCGGTTTATTGTGCGTATTAGGAGAATAAGTAGCCTTTGAAATTCTTATTTGACTTACACTGGTTTCACCAAATGTATTTTATATTAGAAAATTAAGAAGATTCAAACATTTCATCCAAATAACTCTGACCAAACAGGCGCTAAATGACTAAGGATCTGAACTTACTGGTGCCTTTTGTACTGCTGTGTGTTCACCCTCCTTTTTCATCAATGTAACTGGTTTTTCAGTCCCACTTTTACTCTCGGATACAGGGTTTTCAGACTTTGCTTCAGTCTTTGGCTCAACACTGTCTCCTCCACCAGTGACCTATTAGATACAAACATTTTTCAGAATAGGTTCAACAGAAAAAATCTTAATCAAAATTTTAAATGGGAATGCCAAGATTGAAATTAAGAAAAAGACCTTGGAAGATTCACAATTTGTTTCCAGCTTGAGGGTGTCTCGGCCACCACTTTTTCCCTCCTGGAAGACACTTAATGCATGGGACAAACTTCCCATAGCAGACATGGAATAAATACACGGAGCAAAAATGTACTTTGGGGGGGGGGGTGAGGAATGTATGATGCTACAATAATAGAAATATTAGAATCTATACCTTTTGGATGAGATAATGAGCTTTGAATTTCTATATTCTGGATCTCTGTTATTCATCAAATGGAATGATATTGCAGACACTACTATTTCCTCAATGTAGTTACTCAAAACCATTGTATCTGCTTGACATATTGACCCTAAATCCTCACATTCAAGGTCGTTTGCCGCAAGGACCTCAGCAATGTGATTTCGATTATCCAGAAACTGGATTGTCTTCATATCCTTTTCCAATTGGGCTTTCCAGCTTATAAGATGAGTCTCATCTTCAGGTGGCCTAATCTCAATGTTGTAGGGGAATAACACACTGAATCTCTCATCAATTTCTCCGCTCTCATCAAAATGTTCTATTACCCGTGATCCAAGAACCAACACTGATCCTGATAATTTCTTTATCATTCTGTGAAAAAGGTTGAAAACTCGGGGAGACTGAAGGTGTCTATCTACATCCCTCATGTAGAGGATAATGCAGTTAGTTTCAGAAACAGACATCAAAACCTGCAGTCAACTATTGCTTTGTCAAATGTCAATGAGCCGATCATTATAAAAGCATGTAACAAAACATGATTAAATATTATGTCAAAAAAAAATCAAAGTTCCATTACCTTGTAAAGTGACTTCAAGAAAGTTTTTTCGTCAAAAGACCAACTGCTTACGCGTTTGGGAGGAGCTAGTTATACAACAAGATAGCAAGAAAGTGTTTCAATAATCTGATATCCACAATTGTTCAACTAAATGAAAATATTATAAGCATTCTGATGCCTTTTACCCTCTTTCTTTATAAGAATAATCAATATGGGATAATAGAAATGGAAGTAAACTAATGATAAGGATGATGATGCATATGATGCTAACTGTGATATGATGTAATAAAAATTAGTACAGCCACAGTAATCTTGATATGTAACTCCAAAACTTGACAAATGTTTGCAGTACTGATGTAAGCTCAGTAAATCCTCTTTGCCAGATCCGTAGAAACATGAAGTAATGTTACTAATGTAGCACAAAAACCATAAATCAGCATAACAAGCCAGAACTGAAACAGTGAACATTAAAATACGTAGTAGTTTTAATTGAGTACGGTCTCCGTTCTCTTGTATCTTGGCTTTCGATTATTTGTTTTTGTTTTCTAGTAACTGTCGCTTTAGGATTCTAGGAAAGCATTACTTGATCATTTTCCACTACTACACCGTCCATCCATTAAAGATACAAATGAATTAAAACGTTAATAGGGGTTTATAGTCATGTTCGCTACTTTTGTCTTTATTTTAATTAAAACATCTTGATGAGTGTGCAATAATGGGAACACTTAAGAAATATATGAAAAACCGAGGGAGTAGTAAATATTGAATCCTAAGGTGAAGAAGATGACATATACACTAAAACATTTCTGATGCTGTTTATAAAACATCTGAACTTCATACTTATGCTTCACAACTAATGCTGCACAGTCGTTTTATTAAATGTTCCTTGACATCCAAACCTGAACTTGAAATAGAGGACTGTGAGGAGATACTGCTCATATCCGATGAGATAGATGAATTTCTGCGATGCTTAAGAGGAACGCTCACGCCTTCACTGTTACGATGAAGTCCGGGTCAAAAGTCAGAATTGATATCAATCACAATTACTTTGTGGGATCACTATGGAAACAAAGGATTACCTTAATTTAGCATCAATACTGGGCCGCCTCGACAATCTGCCTGGATGGTGATAACTAAAAAATCAATCATGCCAACATCTCACAAAGGTATTTGGAAGAAATAGTTACAAGGCTTTATATACCTTTATTATATTCTTGCGCAGGTAGAGATGAGAGAGACCCAAGTAAACTGGACATGTGCTCCAATGTCACCTCTGATATGGACCTCTTTAATGGCTACACAATGAAAATGAAGGTTAGGTCGACTCCAATATAGACAAAAGGGCCTCATTTGCATGTGGTAGAATAAGCAATAACATGTTAATATCTCAATAAAATAATTCTTTACAGTATAAATCATATTTATGTTGAGACATCATCTCTAATTGGAAAAGAAGATACATGATCCTTAAAAATAGACTATTGATAAAATTTTCCTAAAGTAAAAAAGTGCTTACGGGCTGTTTCTTGGCATTTCCATATTTGCTCTGCATCTACAGATGATCGGCCCATAAAATAAAATTAGTTCACCAATATACAGAATGTATTTTTTAAATAACACTTCATTTCCTAAATAATCACCTTTACTGAAAAGTTAGTTATATCCAAAAGTAAGAGTTTTGCTTCAAAGTGATGAGCAACAGCCTTTGCAAGTGATTGCAAGTGAAGTTCTGCCATATTCAATCAAGATCAGTAAATGGGAAAGAGACATGCTCGAAAAATAATAGTTACTTGTGAAAAATGAAATTGACAGGTTTTCATGCACATTCATACCAGCAGGCCCAGACAGCAATATAGCCCTACTCGCTGGTGATAGATTTCTAGTATGTCGAGACATATCTAAGTGGTTTAGATGAACATATGCTGCACTTGTCAATAACACTCGTGTCCGTTCACTGTCAAAGTCATCAAGATTAAAGAACAAGTTGAGAAAGAAACCAAAAACTTTAGAAATAATAATTGTAAGCCGACTCAAAACTGTTTCTTTGGAAATAATAGTATATCCCAGAGAAGGCAGCAATTATAGGAAATTTATAATTTTGAATTTTAAGTACAATAACAGCATTATCTCAACTAAACTCAAAACACTACAAAATGTTTGGTTTTTTATCATACCATAAATGGTTACAGATTAATTAAACATATATACTTGGGATTCATTTTCCAACCGAAAAGCTTTAAGATAACTAGAAAACTTCAAGATATGTTTTGTTTTAGTTCATCTTATACCAGCAATTTTATTGCTTGCGCCATTTCTTTCCCCAATAATTCAAAACGCGCGGGGGGATTGGGGTGAAAAGGAGAAACAGTTCTGAATTGTAAGCAAATAAAGTCAGAAGGAATTCCACAATGACTGCTTATGAGGGCTCGGCAGCACAAAATCCAACATTTCCTATGCTAACATATCAAAATGTATAAGCCCGCCCCTCAATGAGCATAACAGAAATCGCGAAATCGCTGAAGAAATTAATAAAGATAATGTAAGGAAAATAGAAGATTTCTAGCCACTTTCGCGCCAATTGACCGTCATGAACGGTCCCCGGTTTTACATGGGTGAACCCGTGAATGCTTACTTACTCATTATGACGCAGTACTGAACACAAAATTAGTTACTACCTGAGATAATAAGGGAAGTTTTGAAACGAAACATCGGAGCCCTTGCCGTCAACGATCAGTCGCCGGAGTTCCTGCTCGATTCGATCGGCCGTAACGCCCTCCGGTGCAGAACTGTTGGCGCCACCGCCGGTCCATTTGTTAAGGGCCTGCCCAGACGCCAATCCCAGCCCCACACCGACCCCAACGCCCAATGCCGACATGAACAAGTGCTTCTGCTCCATGATTATTGTTGTTATGAATTTGGGAATTCACAAAAACGAAGACACATATGTACGGGACAAAGTAATAACAGAGCAAAATCCAGACGAAGATGGAAAGGGAGAATTGGAATGTGGGGAAAAGAAGAAAAGTTGCGAGTTGGGTGATGCGTAGATGAGAGCCAGAGGGCGTGAGCGCGAAGTGCGTATGTTCCAATGAGACGTTAGCGCCATATAACTGCTCCGCACTTCCGCGATTTCAGGCTCTTTGTTCTAATTTCTGTGAATTCAAATGGTACATTTAATGATTTTGAAAATAGGGTGGAAAGTCAAATATCACCCAAAATATGGGGTGCAAAGTCAAATGATTTTATAGTGAATTGGGGTGTATACATTAATGATTTTGAAAATGGGGTGCAAACTCAAATATCACCCAAAACATGGGGTGCAAACTCAAATTCTCCCTTTAATTTAAGGCAAATGATAGGGGTACATAAATTGTACACAACTTGTACACACAATGTCGGTCACAGAAAGATGAAGCAGAATCAGTTCCAAATACCCCTAAATCCAAATCGAATTTATATTGGGAGATGTTAGCGCCCTATAAATTGCCCTGTTTGTTGCGTGGTTATTTTCAAAAAATCATTTGGCTGTCTTCCCGATTGATTTTTTAGCTAAAATTTGGTATGAATAAACTAAACTTAATGAATAAGATGCTTAAAAATTTTCATCAATAAATTCCACCGGAAACCGCCCCAAATTGCGACGGCCGGGCAGAACCTCCTATATAACGAGTGATTTGCACTTTTTATGTAAGTTCGAGGGCCTATTTGGTAGTTCTCCCAATTTATATTCGTTTCATAATAAACTTTTCATTTATGTTCTTTTTTTGACAAGAAAATGTGAAAATGCAAAGGGAAAGTGCCCTAAATAGAAATAAATAGGTTTTGAAATTACAAAACAGGACTATTGTGTTTTTGTTCTCGAAATAACAGTCGTAACTGTCATGATTGAAAAATACTGGTTATTGACTTATTGTCATGAAAGATAAGCATAACAATCGTATTTTAGAATTTTAAAAACTGTTTACTCATATTTCAGAAACATTCCCAAATTCAAACTATATGACTCCTACTAGTATATATTTATAAGAAAAAAAATGTTTGACATTACAAGAAAAAAACTACTTCATTTGTTCCTTACAAATTTGAACTTTCTTTTTTTTAGTAATTCCAAAAAACTTGTCACTTACTTTTTTTAATAAATGAATTTGCGATTCCTTTTATTTCACTCTCTTATGCGCAAACCTTAATTACACAAGATATGATGTCACAATTCCTTTATTTGAAACTTATGAATTTAACTCTAGTCTACCAAAATACGTAGTACAAATGAAATGAAATGAAAATCATAATTGTAGCATATAGTACACAGCAATGAACTTGACTTCCTTTGAAATAAAGAGCATAAAATCAGAAGATGTTTGTAAGAGGCACAAATCTTATGCATGTCTAGGGAGTTAAACCCTGTCCTATATTATAAAAATAAAATGCGAACTATTGCAAACTGTCTTCTGGTTTGTGACGTTTTGAACTGTGGCCGACTTCCTCTTCCATTGACTTCAGTTTGTTCTTTATTGCAGCTATTTTGGCACCACGACTCATCCGTGTTGATGATGAACCTCCAGAGAGGTAAGATTTGGCTGTCACGCCTACTGCTTTGGAAGGATTTTCTGCACCTTCCATCAATAACTTTTCACTGGCAAGCCGGATGCTCAATGGGCGCCCACAAACCAACTTTGCATGCATCTTTTCCTTGGCAAGTTGAGCTTCCTGCATGCTCACTTTTAACATACAAATCAGGGGACTATAATGGGAACTTGCTTGAACCAAATACAAACTTCACAAAAGACAACTAATACAAGATCACAAAAGCATTCAAACCCGGTCAAATGTTTCAGACCAGACCAGACCAGGTCTAAAAAATCCGGGTTAGATAAAAAAAAAAACTCAGGCAAAGTTAATGAGTAGATTTATGGAGACTCATATGACTCCATAAAAGAGTCATATGGGTCTTTAAAGTTTTTGCAAAAATAACTACTCCTTAGACCTCAACAATTCCTGAGCCTTTTTTGTTGCTCAATTTGGTTCTCAACTTTTTTGGTACTCAATTTGGTCCTTGACTATGCAACTATGCCCCCGATTTAGTCCCCACTCGGTAAATTTAGTCTCAAATTAGTCCTCATACACAATTGGCTTTAAGTAAGAAGGGTACTTTTGTCCATTCACTAAGCTTAGAATACCGCTTAGATGCATTTTAGGACTCAATTTGGTACTTGACCATGTTATTTAAACATAGTTTAGTTTTGAGTGTTCAAAGTTTCCTTAATTAGAGAAAAAAATGCAAGAAGACTAAAGTGTGTCTAAAATTTTAAATGGTAATTAAACCATGCAATGATCAAATCAAATACAAGGAAATTTATGAGGAACAAGTAGAGTAATAATGTAAAACAGTATAAGGACTAAATCTGATATTAACTTTTGATACATCACAAATTGCGCAACGTACCTCTTTGGTACTGAATTGGACAAATGCATAACCCCGTGGCTCCCCACGTTTAGGCCCACGGGTATGCCATAGAAAGTCTTCAGAAATTATCTTTCCAAATGGTGAAAACATTTTAATTAAGGCTGCCCTGGCACCCCAAAGAGGTAACCACTTCAATTCAGTATTATATAAAGTTTTCGTAATTACTTGTGGTTTTGAGGACTAAAAAGTAGAGACATCCTTACTCTGAAATCCTAAGATCCAGGTTGCCAACATAGAGCCTGCTTTCAGACTTCTCATCAGCAGTTCTGTTAGTATCCTGAGATTAGGCATGGAAAACAAGCCAATTAGGATTTGGCGACTTGCTCAAACTTACAATCACAAATAATGACTTAAAGGTATCGTCACATAGACCCAAAGGAATATTTAACCTTAAACATGAATCTAACAAAATAATCTTTACTATTCAGTTTTTATCTAGTGGTTCTTCCATACAAAGGTGGATGATCCATTCAATGACAGCAAATGGACCAGTTCGACAAGAGTGAAGCTCAACTGCTCAAGTGCATGCTTAAGGTTTTGAACCAAACACTCATAAAGAACCTAGAAATAGCTTTTCTTACAATATACAATTACACAAAAAACATCAAATCAGGGAGGGCTCAAGATCACCAAATGAGAGACACTTGATTTCTCATGCTTAGCATTCAACCATCTACCACTGAAGGCTAACTCTCTAAAACCAAGTACCACTGAATGGGGTGGTGGGGGTATAGCATGAAGAAACACCTCAATTATTGCTATAGGGTTGAGATGGGAAAAAACAACATATGAGCCCATCAAACGGTAAGAGAAGGAACTGACCATGGAATACAAGATGCCTGAAGACTTCTGGAGCTCGGATTGACAAACTAATCCAATTCTGACTGTCCTCTAAACCCAGGCCAAGTAATGAATAACTGCAAAGTACTTCCTCACTTTTATATGCCTAGCCTGAACGTTCACTATCTCGAAATCTTGACCGCATTTCCCGCTTAACGTGTCAAGAACAAACAAATTCTTCTTCAACACAACAAAAAAGTCCATATAAAATACGGCATAGCGGCTGCAATTTTGTCCGTAAATTAGTTATCAAAAACAACTTTTAGTTTCAAATACGAACCATACTACTGAAAGCAAGAGTTTCCAATAGACTGAAACAGTAAAAGTTACACAAAAAGAAGTCTGGAAAGAGTCATGCAGAATAAACGAAACCCTAAATTTCAACGGTTCTGTGAGCACGAAAGTTAATTATAAACCAGTAAATGAATCTTTGGATAAAAAACGGCTGGTTCTAAAATCGAAATCTCACCGAGTCTTGATCGAGTATAATTATAGTAGATGGATAGCACAGCAGAGCAAGTACAGGAGCGAGCGGAAAACGAGGAGTTGAGGGGGGTGGGGTGAAACCGGCAGTGATGTGATTTTCGGTGACCGAACCTGGGAGAGATCGTGGATACGACTTTCTTTGGTCCCGAATAGGGCTGGGTCCGAAAAACCGAAAACCGAAAACCGAATCAAATTAAATCGAACCGCAACCAAATAAAACCGAACCGCTAAGAAACCGAAATCGAATGTAAAAAACCGAACCGAACCGAAGTTGTTTGGTTCGGTTTTGGTTTTTACCCTTCAAAACCGAACCGAACCGAACAAACCGAATTATTTAAAATATGTAATTTATAATTTAATTGTTAGGCATTAATTGTAATTAATCTTAATATCATCAATAGTCTTTGGTTTTCTTGTGTTAGAAAAATAATGTTTGTGTTATGTTTAATTTAATTTAGTTTATAAATTCATTTACACATTCATTGTCTGTAATAATGTAGCTATATTGAATGATAATAATATGTGTTTACTAGTTATTAGTAGTAATTAACTTTTTTTAGATAACTTAAAGATTTTATATTGATAAAATAATAAATATTCATCTCAACTATATCACATAAAAGTATAGAATGTATATATTCATGAACTTTTTTCGAACTACTCACAAACAAATTAAATCTATAATATATACAGTTTTATCTATCTCGCATACTCATATAATTCAAGACATATTTATCTCTTCTCATTTTTATTTTATTTGTCATTGTATTGTGCTTGCATTCTTTATGTAATATGTTTGATCCCTCTAAGTATTATATCAATTTTGAATCAAGTGATAATTTTTTGGTAAAAAACCGAAAACACCGAAACCAAACCGAAACAAACCGAACCAATCAAACCGTGGTTCCAAGTTTTGGAGTGTAAAACCGAACCGAAACCGAACCGAACATTTTACTTTAATTCTATATTTGGTTTTAGGTCAAAACCGAACCGCAAGAACCGAACCCACCCCTAGTCCCGAAGTTGTATTATTCCATGTTTAAAAACCTGACCGAAGAGCGACCCGGAGAGCGACCCGGAGAGCGACCCCGGACCCGGTGGATCAAACCTGACCGAGTCAAGGGTCAAACCGGACCCAGCGGGTCAACCCGGTCAACGACCGAAAAATCCGGTCAACACACATATATAATACTAGTATTTAATTATGTATACATATATTGATATACAGGAAGTGGTTCTAATGAGAACACTCCTTATTGTGACTTGTGAGAAATATAAACAAATCTTAGTAATAATCTTAATAAATTAATGGTCAAAAGAGGAGTAGGTGCACGGATGTACAATGGGAGTGCAAACACTTTTAAAAAACCATGCTCTATTATCTGATCATACGTAGGTTTACATGGGCACGATGGTAATTTTAAAAAGTATCCATACGGTTCAAAGTTGTCATTTTCCTAAAAACTAGGTAATAATAAATCTCAAATCATATGAAATTTCTTTAGTTTAAAAATTGATTTAACTTCTTAAATGATAATGCGATTTTAACAAAAATTATACCAAACTAAATAACTTTTTATGCTCTTTCATATGACATCAATATGTCATATACTCCCTCCGTCCCAATATAAAAGGCACACTTTCCTTTTCGGTCCGTCCCAATATAAAAGGCACATTTCTCTTTTTGGCAAACAAAACAGTGCAAAACAGTGCCAAACAGTGCCAAACAGTGTCCAAACAGTGTCTAAACAGTGTCAAACAGTGTTCAAACAGTGTTCGCCCTTAAAATGTCTAGAAACGCAAATGTGCCTTTTATATTGGGACGGATGGAGTATAATTTTTAAAAATAAAATATGTATAAGATTTATACAATAAAGAACAACAAACAACTCCAACTACTGGATGCACAAGAACATGTATCTAACACACAATCACCGATATCTAATGCATATGAGATGGTCTCGTACTCAATAATCTACCTCTATATAAAAAGAGGTGGAAAACCAGGCAGTTTTCCTGCCCAAATGTTTGGCCTGCAGTGGGTTAGGTTATGTATTTGGATCGGGTTAGGTGTTTGGGTCGGGTTCACAGGGTCCAAGAAATGAGATGGTGTGTATCAGCTAACATTTTACGTTAAAGTGGCTAAAAAACTTTGAGGGCAAAGACTTTTGTTACTTTATGTCTTAAAAATCGAAGGAAACATTAAATGCAAAAAGCATCATCACAATACCAGCAGAAGATGCATTAAATTCGGTTGACTTTTATTTCTATCATTGCTCACAATTTTGAATTAGTACTCTTGAGTGGTTGGGAGTTAATCCGAAAACAGATTGTCAATTAATGAGATTGGTTCAGCCAGTTTAGATTCCTAGGTAACATTAAATGCAACATTGATCTTCAGAATGCTAGCACGAGAAGCAAGAATCTGAAGTTTGACTACACATCATTTTTAGTTCCAAAGTACACCACTTTTAAGGTAGATGAGAGTTTTACTAAAAAAAAAATTCAATTAATGGAGTGGTGCATAGGTATTGGTAGATTGAGGAGTAGTGCAAAATACTCTAAAATTCAAAAGTTTGAATAGTAATAGACCTCACACTTCAGATCACATTTCAAAGGCCATTGGGCCACTAAGTTACCCTATAATAGGACCCTCCTCCCAACCATTCTCCCAACACACTCTCAGCAACAAATAATTCCCAAACTCCTCAGTTCTGCTATGGTTGGCTCTAAGCAAGCATGAATGTGGTCTCTCATAAGTGAGATTGACCACACGAAAACCAGTTGGGCATTGCAAGTTTGAGTGGTTAGGGTATACGGAGTAGCTGCTCACGCAAGGGGAGGGAACACTCTTGAAATGGTGCTACATGATGAGGATGTATATTTTGCTTGATGTGTATTTTGAATATACATTGGTTTTCCCAGATTTGTTTTGAAAACTAACTTAGAGTGTTAGACCACTTTTGTAGGGAACCAGGATCTATGCTATTGTCAAATGGCCTCAGGTTGCGGGCAACCCTGTGTTCAATGCCACATCATCTACTCATAGTCCCAGACAGACAATAGTTAATATCAACTGGTATACAGAGCCTAGCTCTAAATATTAGTTTTAGAAAATGATTAGTATTCATATAGATTAGTATATTGTATATAGATATATGTATGACAGCTTGATTTTAAAGAGAAATCCGGTTTCAAATCACAGTATTTAAGATGCATTAGCATTGTTTAAAAATCAGATTTAGTTTGAACCCATATTGTTTAAAAAATGATCCAAACTATTACACAAATAGGTATTCAGATAGGTATACATACGTTGGAAAATATGTATGACACATAGGTATATCAATTGTAAAACAAATTGTAGATTTATCAAAAACAGTTTAATAATAGGGTTTTATAAAGGTGTGACAGATTGGTTTTGTTTCAATCAGTACTACAGGACATAATCAAAATAGTTAGAATAACTTAGGAATATATTAATTTGAGTATTTAAGATGTATGTAGTATAGTTTGAAAATCACATTTAGTTTGAACCCATATTGTTTAAAAAAAGATCAGATATGTTACACAAATAAGTATTCAAATAGGTATGTAGACATTAAAATATATCTATGGCACATAGGTATATCAGTTGAAAAAACAGATTGTTGATTTATCCAAAACAGTTTAATCTTAGGGTTTTGTAGATGTGTGACAACTTGGGTTTGTTTCAAATCAGTACTACATGACATATTCAAAAAATTAGAATAACTTAGGAATATATCAATTTGCGTATTTAAGATGTATGTAACATAGTTTAAAAATCAGATTTAATAAGTATATACATGTTTCTAAAATCTTATAAATGTCAATGAGGGTTATACCCTTTTGGGAATAAAAAAATTTGTTGGTGTAATAGTATAGCTTACTTTAATTGTACGGGGTGCTTAATTGTTTGTTCCTTTTTCGAATGGGCTTAGATCTCCGTTAAGGAACCCAGTTTGCCGTCTGGTTTAGACGTTTAGTGTTCCTCATCCCGTAACGGCGTCACCAGCGCAACTCACCCTATTCACGTTTGCTTTCGATCTTTTGCCACCCGATGAGCCAATGCCATCTGTGAACCCCAGCTCCTTCCTCGTGATTTGGAATTGTGGAATTTGAACAAGACGTCGAAGAATCACAGAGGGAATCCCGGTTTTGAAGTCCCTCGGTTTTGAAGTCCCTCTGTTTTGCGCTTCCTCTCGCTATCTGCTCTTCGGAGTCTTATCTTGTTCGCGCATAATTGATCAACCGGCTCTTCGCTTGAATCGCAGATTCGGTCAACAGGCTATTCTTTAAGTGATTCAGCCACCTCCGCTCGACTACTCCCAAAATACAAATTCCTCTCAGTCTTCTACACATCAGGTTTGTTAACTTAGTGTGAATATTTTGTTAAGATGAATCAAAATATGGAATAATGATATGGAAAGGAGAAATCTATTTAATTGATAGTAGATTTATCATTCGGATTTCAGAATTTCAGATTGAATAATTGATCACAGTAGACTGTTATTGTTAGTCTATGAGATTAACTGATTATAAATTTTCAAAATTTTATTATGATTGTTTGTTAATAATAGATTATGATTCAGAATTTCAGTTATTTTATAGTTAATATCAGTTTCAAATTATATACAAAGTTCAGATTTTCGGGTTCAATCATTTTGGTTATTGTTATTCTTCACATTTAAGCTTCAAACCTGAGATTGTTACTAATTTTTGAACTCTTAGCAGTTATATAGTTTTGAATTTTGTGTGGTTTTGGTTTATCTATAATCATGGTAATGTGTGAAATAAGGCTCATAGTTAGTGGCTTATAGAGTGAACCAAACGACAGCTATAGTGGATGGATTTGAGGATGCAACCGAGTTATGAGCATTAGTCATGTAACCGAGTTTATAGAGAATGCATCTCTTGTTAATGATTTAGACATTATTGAAGAAAAACCCCTCCAGGTTATAACATTAGACAATCATCATCCGGAGATTGAGGGATTGTTGACACGCTATCACTTTCTACTTCTGGTGATGAATATGTGCCTATTCGGGGACCTTTATCTGACCAAGATCTATTGGAACGACTGCTTGATCCTTCTTGGAACT